ATGAGGAAGGGCTAGGAACAGAAACCCTGCAATGTGGGAGAGGGGAGGGCCTGGCATGCAAATGAGGAAGGGAGGGGTGGGGCGAGGAAGGGGTCCCTTCCTCGCCCCACCCCTCCCTTCCTCATGAAATGAGGGGAGAGGAGAGGAGCTGCACCACATCGTCAACGTCAAGCTGATGTGGTGCATGTGGGAACCTTGTCCCTTCCCGAGCCCTTCAGCAGCCATTAGGAAGCTGTTGAGGGGCTGGGGAAGGAACAAGGGGTGGGAATGAAAGTAAACAGTGTTTACTTTTGTTTCCCGTTGCAGCACCGTGGGCCTCAGAAAATGGCCTGGCGGGCCGCATGTTGGACAAGCCTGATATAATATATTCTTGCGACCCACTTTTGGGTTGTGACCTACGGGTTGAGAAACACTGCTCTAGACGGCAGGATGACAGAGCATGTCAGGATTAATCCCTAAAGCTAGCAGATTTTGAATATCCAGAGAGGGATAAGGCTGTTGGGATTTCTGTATTTGAACTTCTATGCTGACTCTTTGGCTCTTTCTCGGCATCCTGCAGTACCAACAGCTCCTCTACCACTCATTGGATGTCCCCAGAGAAAGACAAGACCTGGCCAACATGAGACTGTTTTGACAGTTTTCTGTTGACAGAATTGTGCATATGTCTGCACACAAGGTGCCTAAAAGTTGACAAAACCCAGATCTGTCAGCTGAGTCACAATACCTCCCCATGGGGCACAAGCCCTCATATAGCCACTGAGATAAAACCAGCATGGATATCTTTGCATCTGTCAGTTGCTGTAGTTTTCCAGAAGCAACCTCATATTTTATACTGATCAGCCTGGCCATGATACATAATAAAAGTATTTATGTTCAGTTACTCACGTTGGTTGTGTAGGGGTCCTTGATCTGTCTGTTGTTACTGAATTTAAATACTGCAGCACTGTTATCTCAAATAAAAACTTTAGTATTTCATATGGAATTCAGAATATTAAAAATTCACAGCTGCCTACATATACGGGCATTCCAGTCTCTCCCCCACAAAGGCTGTGTGGCCTTTAAAAACAAATATTGGCACAATTCATGACACACCACTGAAGTGCTCTTTTAAAGCCTCCCTTAGCTGAACAGCATTATAGTGGGCTCTGTTTCTTGCCCGTGTGTCTAGCTGCTTAAATTATGTACATAGTCTGTTCCTCTTCTCCTGCCATCTCATTGACAAAGCTTCCCTCTAGCCTCACAAAGCCTGTACCATACAAGAGCAGGCAACAGGTACAATGGGAATATTTGGTTTGTCAAAGTTATGCGTTATCATGGGACATCTCTCTCCACTGCCCTGTCAAATACCCAGAAAAATTTAGTTGTCATTCTGCCTCTACTTAGGGTCTAGTTAAACCTCCCCTGCTGTTGTCCAGATGCCAATATATGGCTTAATGAGCTAGGGGAGGAGAGGGTATGCCACACCACTCAGAATGAGTATTGCCATTTTAATGCTAATATGGAAGTTGAGGAAGAACATCCCTGCTTGCAGCTTCTCATGTACGCTTACATGCACAGACATACAAGCATTGCGCACCTTCCCCCATCAGCCAGTATTATCTGTTGACTGCTCCTTGTGAACCATCGGTATCTGCATCATCATGTGGAAGTATCACCTTCCACTGATGTACTGAGAAGCTAGGTGGAGTGAATGGCTAGAATTGGTATATGAAACCTGTCTACTGTCACTGCTCTGAAGGACAGAGTCATACTCAACACACAGTGCCAAAAATATTGTCTTGGAAAGTTTGCAGCCACAGCTGATCATCCCAGACATGAATCACAGGTATGATACCACCACTCCATGCTAGTTTCCTAAGCCCAGGCATGAGGCTTAGCCATGTTCAGATGGTTAGCGAATGCCTCAGGATGCAGTTGCTGACCCCATCCTTGTCCTTACAGCATTCATTCATTGTTTTGTATACCCCTTCTGCCCCCAGGTTGCGCTAATATCCCCATGTCATACTTCTACTGTCAAAGTGGTACAAATACAAATAAATGGCTCAGTATCTTCAGATGGAACAGTTACAAAGAGGACTTCTATGGTACTCATGCTAATGGTGAGGAAACAAAACGCAAGGTACTCATTTTTCAAAATATATAGCACAAGTTTTGAGAAGGAGCAAGGAAAATGACATTAAGGGACATTAACCCCAACTATCACAATTCTCAGTGCCACATCAGTATCCCATAATGAACCACTCCTATGTCCCATGGTGTGTGGTATTGGGTGGTGTTACAGGAGCCACTGGGATGTTTGCTCATGGTGCACTTCATTGTTAGCCAACTCAATCACTCAGGATGAAAACATGCAGTGCTTCCACAAGCAGTGGGGTATGCCTGTGCCATGGCGTAGTTATGGCATCTGCTGTGAACAAGGGAAACTTCTGCCAACTAAAATTTCTAGTATACATATAAGCGTAAGTTAATGCTGCCTCAGGCAGTGAACAGAGGTTGGGTGTTACTGTAGGGTTGCTGAGCAAACAATATGCAGACAGTATTGATTTCTCCAGCCAAAGGTCATCTCCTCCAATGGACTTCAAACCCAAACACCCGCCCCAGAGTCCTGCCATAGGAACCCTAGTAAGGACCCCAAATGTGCCTGTGCCTCAACTGTGTACTAAGGGGGTTTAAATAAGGCTGAGGTTTGGAGAGGTATCCTGGGCATGGTTAAGCAGAGTTCTGCAGAGGTTTTGCATGGTGCACAGCCCCCAGGCAGTGGGTGCTTAAATAGCATGTAGGATTAACCAAATCCCAGAATAACCTATAAACAGGAAGACAAAGGTTACTAAAATATATCTGAACTCCCCATTGCTTCTGGCCTGCTCCTGTGATTGTAATTTTACTAAATGATAATGAGAAACAACTTAAAATAGCATTTCATTATCTGGTCATTATTTCCCTGGGATTGTAATTGCTTTGTCCTTGATTGTATGTGCTTTTCCCCTTATTTTGTTTTAAGGTTCATATAATCTGATATACTTTTGTTCTATGAAAATGACCACAATTATAATACTCTAATGCTGCACTCTTTTCTCTCAAATAGAAGAAAAATCCTGAGTGGATGTAAGACATTTCTTGTACCCGTGTTGAAGTAGAATGATTGGTAGTATACTCTAAAGTTTTAGAAGATACAAAAATATGAACGTTGCAGACGCATCCCCTTACCTTCTCCAAGAGTTTGAGTTTCAGTCGGGTCATGTGATCTGCCATTGTAGGGTCTGTCATTATGGCAACCTTTCAGACTGCACAGATAAACTATCTTTTAATTTCAGTTCTCTCTCATTTTAACTCCAGGATCTTCACTGCAGACTTCACAAAAAGTATCTTCTGAAGATAGAGACAATAAAAAAATATTTTGAAGTCCAAATGAATGTCAAAAACCAACAAAAAAATCCCAAGCACAATGTTTTTTGCTGTTTCTCTCTTAATGCATCCTCTTCTGCTGTGGGTTAGTAAGGATCTCTGCAGTTTTGCTCATCTTGAATGAGAATGTCCCTCTCTTCTTAATTGCTGCTAGCTTTTCACTGGAAGTGTCACTGATCCCAGCTCTGTGTGTCGTGGTCTTCTGACTAGCTCTGAGCCTAGGCCAGGGAGCCCGGTTGCTAAGTTTGCAGCGTATGTCTACAACATAAACAACTTCATCTCCAGGTGTAGGTAGCTATGTGATTTTTGTACAGTGAACTCCCAACACATCAAATGGAGACCAGAACTTAACGGTATAAAAGAGTATTTCTGGTTCAGTAATATGAGGCCCATATCAAAAACTAGTAGCACTGGCTCCAGGACTGCACCCACCAAAAGTCTTATAGTACTTTCTGTCTTTAATAGGAATTTTCATCCAAAATGTTCTGCTGGTTGGTGATGAGTTTTTTAATAATGAAGGAGACTGTTACTTATCCTGTATTACAGGTAGTAGTAAGGCATGGCTAGCAGCCTCTGTCTCTCAGCCCAGCAAAGCTGATCTGGTAAGGAGGGGAAAACAACTTGCACCAGTTACATGAACAAAACAGGAATCAGAAGACAAGAGTAGATTTGGGAACCAGACATAGTCATGTTCTTGGTTTGCTCCTGAGGAAGCACAGCTATAGGTTGGTCCTTACTTGAAACTTGTGACAGTCACAACTGAGCCAGCTTGATCAGTTTATTTTTTTTTTCCCAGTAGACTACTCCTGGTTTGCCAGAAGAGGAACATGTCAGGGGTGTTGTTACAGGTACCCCAGAGTGAAAAACTTACAATGGGTAGAAAACATTGTGTTCCTAAATGTTGCTGATAGTTCTTCTACTGCTTATATCTGTGGTGGTCTTTCCAGACAGGGGTCCCAACTCTGGGAGACCTTCACTAAGGTCCTTGGCTTGACTTTCTGGGAACATGCCTACTAGAGAAAGCTAGGCAGAGATGACATCCCGTGTGAGAGGCACCTGGTTGTGGAGTCCCTCAAAGGGAGACAGCTCAGCAGCAAAACATCTGGGGACACAAGGACCTTGTCAATGGAGGGAGGATGTCAATGGATACATAGAAATGGAGGGAAGATGCTAGATATCTCAGAAACACTTAAGTGATACTGTGGGAGGGAGGTGGGGCAGAAAAGTGGTCGCATTGCAGAGAGGATACTGGTTGCCACTGTACTCAGTCTTCCACTGCCCTTACCCCACAACTTGTCCTATCCATCAGTCAAGAACAATGCTGCAGCCCTGCTTTCAAAAGTAGATCAAACCCTAATGACTGAGGAGGGAAGACTCAGATCCCCTCAGTTGGATGGCTCACAGACACTGCCCTATCATGAAAAGACAAGTGGGAGAAGCAGCTGGAGGGGCCCTTCAGAGGGAATAGAGACACACATCTGTTGAGTCAAGCCTGTAGCCAAGGAGGCAGGCTGCCTGCCTGAAGCTCCTATCCATGATTTTATGCATAGGTTACCAAGGCTCAGGTGACCTCTTGATCACAAACAAAGCAGCAGGATTTTGTCTGAGGGTTCCTGTTGACTTAGAATCACAGAAAGTTAGGATTGGAAGGGGCCTCAGAAGGTCTACTCCAACCCCCAATGGATACTATCCTTATGTTTTTGGAGGTGTGCTGAATAAGTGCCATCCATGCAGTATTTTAGTCTTTGCAAGTAGAAAGTCTACTTTAATGTCTAGAATAATGAATGCAAGATGTCAGAAAGCAACTGTTACTCCTCCACATTTCTGTAGAGCAGGGGTGTCCAACCTTTTTGAATATGGGGCCGGATCACGAACTTTTTATCACCCAGTGGGCTGGCGAGCCATATTCAAAGACATCACAGGTATTATATCAGAAAGTGATGTTATGTGACTTTTGACACCAATGAAGTTGCAGGGGTTGACATGGTGCTGCAGGAGTCGCTTGGCTACAACTGGGTTGACCTGGTGCTGGAGAAGCCGTGGGGCCAGGCCAGGGTAAACCGGTTAACCTGGGGCCCGCCCGGCCTGCCGGTGCCATGCCCGAGTTGACATGGTGCTGCAGGACCTGCTTGGGCAGAACCGGGCCAGCACTGGTCAGGAAAAGCAGCATGCAGCTGAAGCCAGCTTCTCATGTGCTGCTGGGGACGGGAGGAGGCTGGCCAGGTCTGCACTGGCCAGCAGAAGTGGTGGCAGAGCCGCGTGCCGCTTGGGACTGACCGGTGTAGGCTTGTCCAGGCCCGAGCGGCACACGGCTCTGCCGCCGCTTCTGCTGGCCGGTGCAGACCCAGCCGGGCTCCTCCTGTCCCCAGCAGCACACGAGAAGCGGCCCCGTCGGGGCCTTGCACGAGGGTGGCCGGGTCTGGAGAGCCACAGCGCCCGGGGGGAGACTGGTTGGGGGAGCAGGCGCTGCCTTGCTGTGGGGCAGGGCAGGGCAGGGCAGCGGGGCTGGCTTGAAGCAGGCGGGTGAGGAGGCAAGTGGGGGCTGCCAGTGCCAGCAGCCGTTGCTTGGCCTCCTGTGCCGGGCTGCTCCCCCGGGCCCGGCAGGGGTAAGCAGCTCCCCTCCCCTCGCTGCCAGCTGGGGCCTGTGGGCTGGCCCTGCCCGCCGCGGCCGTGGCCCCGCTGCCACAGCTCTGTGCTCCGCTGCTGGTGCCGTGGCTCCACGCTCCGCCACAGTGGCTCCGCACTGGCGCTGCTGGCGCTGTGGCTCTGTGCTCTGCGGCGGCGGCAGCATGGCCGCTGCTGCCTTGGGCCAGATAAAATGGCTTGGTGGACCGCATGGCGGCCTGTGGGCCGTATGTTGGACAAGCCTGCTGTAGAGCATTCTGGATGGGCTCCTTTATGGACTGTAATTCAAAAAGCCAATGGGATTACCCCCATTTGTAAAATTAAACAAATGGTGGGGTAAGCATAAATCTTGACATGGCTGTGATCTGAAATGAAATGAATTGTGGAAAGTGAAAAAAGAGCCTAGGAAGAAATGATGTGCCAAGGCTGGGCAGCAGGGCTAGTGCCAGAGCTGAGAAAAGACCTAAGGTCTTACAAATGTCAGAACTGGTTCCTGGCCATTACAGCTGCTTGGAGTCGTCATTTTGATAGCTAAAACTATCAAAATAGTGATAAAAATGCAAAATCTGTCTGCACACGTCACGTGCATTTGTTGAAAAGTTGGTGTAGCTATGGAGGGACAGGAGAGAAGTGTGATTTGTGAGGTGAGGTAACATACAGGTTTCCTTCACTTTATACGGGTTCTGTATGTGTGAATACACTTCTATGCAATGACCCTTTTTATACCAAAAATTCATTGTATGCGAGGTAAATTCACTCTTATGTGATCGGTGTGGTGGAAGCCCGCAATCAGCTGCTTTGTGTGGTGCACTGTGGGAGTGACACACCAAAATATAGTCTCCTGTGTGGATCTGTGCTCATTCCTCATTGTCTGAGACATGTTTCTGTAGGTGCCATCCCCATTATGATAGTGCCCTGTGCTTGTATGTACAGGCAGTCCTCAGACTTATGACATAATTGGCTCCTGAAAATCACGTCTTAAGTCGAAACATTGTAACTCGGAACCAATTTTCCCACAGGAAACAATGTTATAAATGCGGGATTGGTTCTTGAACCAAGGCCTGATACCCTATTTTCATAAAAAATAACCCAGAATTTTGTACTCAATTAATTATCGATGCGTAAGATTGCTACATTAATGTAATTATATTGTAAATAGCAATCATATAGATTTGGAAGGACTTCTTTGAGGAGATTTTGCTGGACGTTTTGAAGGGTTCTTGGCTGGAGTCTTCTCAGCAGTCTTGGCTGCAGGTTTTTCTGGAGTCTTGTCTGCTTTCTTAAAGAAAGTGGCCAAGGAAGTTTGGACAGATGTTCTCCAGGGAGATGGGTGACACAGTGAACTTGTTTGCTGGCATGGCTTGGCATCAGATCAAGTGTTATAAAGTCAAAACCGATGTCATAAAGTTGAAACAGGGTGTCAATTTATAAACGTTGTAAGTGCGAAATGCTGTAACTCGAAACGTTGTAAGTCGAGGACTGCCTGTACTGTCTGCTGTTGGTAAGTACCAAAATTGTCTCGTAAAAGTGGTAGAAGTGAGTCTGGGGGTCAGTATCGTTGAGGTCTTGGAAGGTATCCCTATTTGTTACTTTGTAAAGTGGGTTCCCTTTATGCGAATTTGAGTTATGCGCCACTTTCCAGGAACACATGTACAGCATAAAGCGAGGGAAACCTGCATTTTTATTGGACCAACCTACGTTGTCAGGCAGAGTAGGGACTGAATCAGAGATGGATAAGCTTTTCCAGAGCCTGCGCTTACTTTGTCAGAAGAGATGAAGGCAGAGTAGCACCATAGGATGAAATTACATATTACACTTAGACCATATTAAGGACATTTAAAGTGTGAGCATCAGCATGTTAAAACTGGTTAACGCCTGCTAAGTGCCTTGTGAGCATCTCCAAGTCACACCTTCAGGCGAGGGTCAGTGGTGGGCGGTGCCACCCAGCTCATGTCGGGGTAACTTGTTTGCTCGAGCTGAAATGAGCCATTCCAGTCCTCCAGCATCCCAGGATGCACCACTCCCAGTGCCCCCCTCCCCCAGTCTTGATACTTAGCCACAACCCAGCTCCCCAGCGCTCTAGGGGCAAGAAAAGCCAGTAGCCCTTGCCACGAGACAGCACTGCTTAGCACACTCAGGGTAGGGCTATGGGCGCTGTGGCAGGGGCAGACCCCTCGGGAGCTCTGGGGCAGGAACAGGGCCTCTACACAGGAGACAAGGTTCTCATCCAATGCACC